GGACAATCTTTGTCAGAGCGATTGTAACCATACTCCGAATAATTAATTGATGGCTAATATAATCAACAGAACAGCGTTCCAATAATTTATAAAGGCTTTTCCTCAATATTAAAGCAAAGAACGGGCCTCCTCTCGAATTCCAAATGCCTGCTTTATCGTCAATAGCCTACGTTAATTCGTTTGAAAGTAAAATACATAAATTTTTCTCTTGTTATAAAACAACGTAAAACGAAAATGAATCTCGAAACTGATTCATCTCAGAACAATATTGCAAGCGTTTTCTTCTCTTCATTTCAACATAATTTACGCATTATGCCCAAATGAAAACGTCTATAACATATAATAAGTAACCATTAATAAATAATGAATATATAATAGGTAAACATAAACACAAATGCTTCTATATTATTTTATAATTTTATTTGATTTCATTTTATCTCTATTGGCTTTAGCACCTTTTTTTTTTTTTTTTTTTTTCTTCTTCCTTGCCTTTTAGGCTACACGGGTTTTTCCCTAGCTAGGGAAAGAGGAGGACAGGAAATTATGCCAAGTTATAAGTCCTACCGGGTACCGCAATTTGAACTCGTAATTATTTGTTTATCTCAAAACTTCGGTTATCAAGTTGCTGGACAACGCACGGCACTATCCACCTGGAGTCCTGCTTTTCATTACATATTTGAAAGAGCAAGCCTGCCTCGGAGTTTCTTCGTCTGAATGTATACAGTTTCTACAGGTACATAAATATATTTTTTTTATTTTACTTATCTTTACGTTATTTTATTTCTATTTTGCTTCTGTTTATTTTATATTTTTATGTATATACATATATATATATATATATATGTATATATACATAAAAAATATAAAATAAAACAGAAGCAAAATAGAAATAAAATAACGTAAAGATAAGTAAAATAAAAAAAAAAATATATGTACCTGTAGAAACTGTATATATTCAGACGAAGAAACTATATATATATATATATATATATATATATATATTGAGAATGTAGTCTATCCGCACTATAACTATTGCCCGATTGACAGAATCTTATATTACTCAACAAATAAATATTTGATTTCTTAATTTTATAATTTATTCTTGTCATTCCTATTATCTGTGGACATAAAAAATGTCTATCTAACTGTACATTTACGTTATAATATGGAGTAGATGTGCTCAGAAGAAGGTTTCATGGTGCTGCCATCAAAATTTTTGAGAGGATTTAAACGAGATTTTCAACTTTTAAGGGGGGCAACCTCGTAACAGACCGTAATTATATATATATATATATATATATATAATATATATATATATATATATATATATATATATATATATATACATGTGTGTATAAAGTGAGGTGTACAACACGTTCTGTGACCGATTGCTATGTTTCTATCGGAGAAAAGGAAAAAGATGATAAATTATTTTCGGTTCCATTAGTTCAGATTATCCTCAGAAAGAAAGAGACATGATTTATTATCGTTGTCTGTGATTTCAAACTGAATCAAGATCATGATAAATCATTCACGCAAATAAAATGCTATTGTGTGATATCACATAATGTATTTCGAAGGTACCACGCTCTCTTTAATGTCAATATTTTCTTTCACCATATCGGAATCTTACAATATTTTGTGAGAGCTGGAAAATGGTAGAGCTAATGAAACGTCACACCGCAACTTTGTAATCGAAAAGTATTTATTGGTTCAATGAGAAAAACATGCCTAAATGAAATAGCAAACAAAATGTTCGAATAGGCGTTGAAGACCTCGGAGTTTAACACCTCTAAATCCTAAATAACATAACAACAAAATAGTCGAGTTCTATTTACGATAAATTAATGTACTTTTATTTTAATTTAATTTTTGTTTAGAAAATTATATTTGCCTTCTTTCGTGGAGCATTTGACCGAATCGTAAAAAATCCAAATGTGTAATATTTAGGCACTCTTCAAAGAAATATTTTATCTTCAGCCTTCAGTGTCGACTACATCCAAATTACACAAATAGACTTTGTAGTAGGTAATAGTAAAAAAGAAAAATATTACAATTGGCACCTGAAAAAGATCTATGAAGTGAATTATGGCTCCTACACACACAATGCGATTTGTTTCTCGATACGATATTTCTGTCGGCGGTGATATGGCGATAGAGTTGTATTACTAGTATTAGTAATATTTAGTATTTAGTATATAATAGTATTAGTATTTTATTACTTTACTTTAGTATGTATTGTATTAGTACTATCTATTACATGACACCTGTCACAAAGAGCTCGATAATCGCTTTATTATATATATATATATATATATATATATATATATATATATATATATATATATATATATATATATTTATCGCTTTATACTGACTTAAATTCAAAACAAAAAATGAAATAATAAATAACGAAGACAAAACGACAAAAGTTAAGATTATTCATCATTGATTAAAGATAAATCACCATTGATCAATTATGGGATTATTTATTTTCTAAGGAATAGTGTAACTAAAAAGATATTATCAACAGGAAAAAATGAAAGTCTGCATAGGGATTTTCAAACATGTATTTAAATTGAAATTTAAAAAAAAAATTCTGCCATCTATACGGGAGGACTAAATGATTGAATAAAGTTTTTAAAAAAAGTACACCAGCTCTCTACCGAGATAGGATTAAAAAATCAACCATGTAATCGACGTTTCCCCAACGAGCTGTCATGAAAATACGGCTGGTTGGTTGGAGAAAGATCGGCCGTTTAAACTTTATCATTTGAAGGAATTGAAAGAAAGTATTTTGTTTTAAAATATTCGGTTTAATTTTATAATGTATAAAAAATAGAAAAAATGAAATATAAAATTAATGTCCTTGTGGATTGATAGGTATGCTGTGTACGAAGCAACCCTGTGTAGTAGGGCAGCATTACTTTTAATAAAGTATTTCTCTCTGGGAAATAGTTTTAATAATGACGACATAGGAGAATAGTTATGTTAACACCAGTTTTCTAACTCACGCTTAATGTCTTGAATTACTTTTAAAATATAAAAATACAGCAACATTTACGTAAATATAATCGCGAGCTAACTGACAATTGTATTCATATTTAATCACGCATAATTACTCACTAAGGTCTCGTTCCCAATACGCGTAAAATGTTCTACAAACCTTCATAGAAAAAATCTTTACCAAAGCAAAAACTTGGGTGCTTAGAAAGTTCTGTATTCCAAGAGAAACAAAAATGGCAGGTGTTGGGAATCGCATTTGCCCTAATCTATAATCATTTTAAAATTAAACCAAACGAATCAAAATCAAGGAGGCGTAAAATTCTTCAAAGTAGATGGATGACGAAAATTCATATAAATCGCACCAGGGACCATTAAATTCAACATATCTAAAGCGGCACAGACAGTAAGCAAAGGTCTAATAGTAACAGAAGCGCTTAACCAAACTCATTTTAATTTATCTTGAAAACCGACGGAAAGGGCACAAACAAGTAACGAAACACTATTATAGAAAAACAACATTTAGACTTTTGCGTTTTCCATAGTTTGTAAATTCTAAGCGTATCTTTATTTTTTACAGTTCTGTCGGACGTCATTGCGTAATCAATCTTTTTATTTTATAACTACTCTCCTGCAAGAGTGATTGGGAAAAGTTAACTGTTTTGGAAAACATCTGAACACATATTCCAAAAAAATCATTCATAATGGTACGTCCGATAATTAGTCATAGAGGCGGAATTCCATCGTTTTCTGGGAATCAGGGAATGATTTATTTAACAGCCTTCTACTTCGTATTAATCGTACTACTCATGAACCAAAAAAAAAAAAACTTAAATAACTGCTCTGTTACTGATATTTAACTTGATGGATCATTACCGACCGAAAAGTGAACCAATAAAAAATCAAAAAACGGATGTCTTATCGGTAGAAACTGACATTCGAAAGAAGAGGCTGCTATAGATTTCAAGGGACTATTTAAAGATTTAATTAATATGAAATCAATAATTAAGATTATAATAATCTTTTCATTATATGATTCTTTCGGTTGACAGTATGACGAACTTCAATTTCAACATTTTTTTGATACTTTAGTGATACAGACGGCTAACATGGGACTGACGGACTAGAACTGTGGGAAACTAAATTAGCTAAATTTTCTAACATCTAACGCATTCAATCCTTTCAGTCTAAAGTCCCCCGTACAATAGTCGATGCTCACAATATAACCACTTATATGTAGTCCTAGGTATCGGATTTGTTCTAGAGGGATAAGTTGGGTGTTATTACAGGATACTGTAGGGTAGGAAATAATAGGTTTACGGAAAATTATTAATTTACTAAATTGCAAAAGTAACTTTAGTTTTAGGCAATTTTTGATATTTGAGCAAGACCTTTCACAGATATCTTAGAGATTTAGTTATTTAGATTCATGAGACTTTGGAAACATATATATCTGTTGAAAAATAGAATTCGAAATTTTCGACGATCGCCATAGCTTTTTTCACAGTATATTTCATATAAAGGTCCATGAATGTAATTTTATTCATGATATTCTCAAGCCTGTACTTGAGGTGAATTTTATTGTGTTAGGAATAAATACAATTACAAAAATTCATAACTTAGAAGATATATATATATTGACATAAATGTGACGATAAAATAAAACATAAGAATGGACAGTTGCGTTATTCATTATTCATAGTTAATAGAACTTATTTGGTATTTTAGAGAAGATAGTTTCATTAAATTTTTTTAAATTATTTTTGTTATGAATATCTTGAAAATAACAAGTTCAAAAAAGAAATTTTGTAAAGTTGTAGTTATTCAAGAAGGTTTAACTAATAGCCCTTGGATTCCCATTTGGGATATAGGCGAATGTCACAATAAATAAATATATCAATACAATATAGATTTATATTAATAATATAAAATATTATGATGCAATATTTTCACCAAAAAGTATAAAGTCGTCTCATTATTTATTTCGAGGGATGTGGATGCAGTTTTCACCTCTCGTTATTGAAGAATACAACGCCTTGAAAGGTGTTATATGTCAATAACCCTTAACCTTTATATACAACCCTTAACAGTTTTAAAAGGTCATGGTCGAATCCGGTATAGGACAATTATTCTAACTTTATATAGGTCATCTTGCTATTATTTTCCTTTTTCACAGCGTTAAACAAATTAAATAAACAATTCAGAACCACGCACTCCGTCAACCAGCTGAATCAATGAACCACATAGTAAGTCTGAAAGTTACGAAAATATAAAAATCATTCCGTTCCAATATTCGAGTAAAGTTAATAGAACTTTGCATATTATTGGAATAATGAAAAAAAAAAAAAGAAAATTCAATAAGCTACTGTCCAGTCTACGCTGAAACCTATTTCATTTTCATGTTAGCGGAACAAAAGGATAAAATATGGCGGAAGTAGTAAAGAAAAATGTGATTTAATATGAGCTATTTGTCAGAATTTAATAAAGAAGATTCGCCATATTAGTATAGATCATCTGTAATGGATGAAAGTTGGAACATGGATGGAACATGGATGTTTTCTTAAAATATTTATGACAACTAATTTCTAGCCAGAGGTAACACAAAGCTTCTATTTTTTTTATTTATTCATAAAATTTACAACTGTATAAATTTAAGAATACATCCAGTAAATGTGCACACGGTAATAATAAAATTATATGAAAACGCTTACAGACTACCCATTGGTAGCACTCTAAAAATATATTTGATCACAAGGCCATCTTCTTTTCAGACGCCTTGGAGGGTTACCAGGTATCGAAGAGAAAGCGAGGTTTGAAATGAGAGGGTTTTGAAGTTTATTATGAAAGGATAGGTATCTGGATTGGGCTAGATCGGAAACATATGGTACGTTAAGGTTGTTATGAATGATTTTATTTGTGACAAAGTAAGGAGCATTGAGGGTTTTACGAAGGATTTTGGATTATAAGGATTGGATACAACAGGAGTTCGATGATTTAGTGGAGCCCCAAAGCTCAATTCCGTAAGTCCATATTGGCCTTATTATAGTCCTGTGTCTTTTGAAATATATAAACATTTTAGAGCGTTTGTCTAGTAAGCGCTGGAGTAGTCGAAAACGTCGAGCAGTTTCTTGTTGTTTCAGTCTTTTATGAGGATTCCAAGTGAGTCATTTGTCCAGGTGAAGTCCTAGGTATCGGATTTGTTCAACAGAGATGAGTAGGGAATTGTTAAAGGATAGTGTAGGACATGAAGCCATAGGTTTGCGTCTAAAAGTGAGAGTAATTTGATGGGATTTATTTTAATTCTCCAGTTTTGACACCATTCTTCAAGATTTGTGATATGTGATTGAAGAGTTTGGGATGCAATTGATGAGTCGTTATTAACTGATAGGATACATGTGTCATCAGCATATGTGGTGATGATAGTGTTGGGATTGGTTGGGATGTCAGCTGAAAATACTGTGTAAAGGATAGAACTTAGGGATAGTACCTTGAGTACAAAGTTTTAAATTGAAATTGAATTTAAATCTTGAAGCGATATGAAACGTATCCTGCCGATGTATTAATTATAATAGTTTCGAGGAAAATAAGCGGTAAAATAATTTTCAAATTAGATAATTTGAATAAATGGTTGTAAAACTCAGAAATTCCTTAAAACGAATGAAAATGAAAACAATTGAAAATTTCCAACTTAAAACGTATATCGTTAGCTAAAAAACAGTTAACCCAATTAATAACAATTATCTATACTAACAGCTCCAATCAGAGTTTTACTAACAACATTTGTATAAAAAAAACAACCTGAGAGATTATATGTAGAACTTGGCTTGTGTCTAATATTCGTTCTTCTAAAAAATCCACTAATTTAATTTGCATTAACTTACGTATTTGGAAATGAGAACTAAAATGGACTTATACTTATCCACATTTTGAGAAAATTTAGTTGAAAAGTGTGAAAATAATTTTATGGCAATAGTTATTCAAGTTATTGTAGGTTCATTTTCAAAATAGGCCAAAATAATTCGAAAAAATTAGTTTCCTTCTACGTAGTTTTTATCAAAGCTAATGAAATTAATGCAATCTGCTTTTTAAAGCCTGCACTGCATGCTTATATAAACATTTTTATTTACTCAAGCTGTAAAAATAAATAACATTGATATCGAGAAGTTTTAATTTATATAACCGAAAACTGTTGTACGGTATTTCCTGTTATCCTGAGCCACATTATTCTGCATAAACAGGATGATTCCGCTGTACAATCGAGGAATTCTTCTCTGTATTATTTCATGGTGCATATTTAATAATTGTGCGGAAGTAAAATTGGATTTATCGCGCCATTGTGAAGAGCCGGAAGCGACATTATATCGATATTTCTCTCTCCATAACAAAAATGTAACTATTCTTTTCACTTTAAAAAACAAAAGGGTATTTGTGTAAATGAGTACATGGGAATAACTGTAGAAAGACATTTGACCTAATCGGCTCATTTCCGGAAAAATTATAGGAATAGGTTCACAAGTTAGGTATTTTTAAAAAACTTTTAAAAACGCTATGTTCATCTACTTACTACGGCTGAGTTTAAACCAGTGTAGAAAATTATATTATACGAAAAATGACGGCAGAAACGTTTTTTAAATTTCCAATTAAGATACTGCTTCTGAAAAATCGAGTTTTCATTTTTTTATAGGTTAGCTAAAAAAAAAAAAGAACAAAACACCTTCAAAATAAAATAATTTAATTAAATTTACGGATATTACTCATCGTCAACCAATTTTCGCAGATTGTCATAGCACACTCATACTGGAAATAAATATATTGACCAAATATGCTGTAAACGTTATCTCCTGGAGATGTTCAAATCTTCAAAAATTGTTAAGATTGAGCAGCGACACGAAAAAAAACGCAAAGGTATTAATAATATGAATTGATACTAAATGTAAACGAAATGAATACACATTAAACAACACTAAGCCTATTTGAACAAGCTTCATCTTCCTGAAAAAACGTGTAGTATCTTTAAGATGACACGTTCCTATACGATCATTGTATCACGATCATACGTTGTTTTGAGATTGATATATGCTTTAAATTGTAAGAAGGAGATTATTATCAAAGAAATTAAGCAGTTTTTTTTTTTTATTCTTGTAAAGTTTCAGGATTGAGAAAGGCTGTGCTAGAATTCATAATGCCGTGTCACAGAAGGAAACTAGCACTAATTCTTCGTAAATTATTAAAAAATGTGAAAATGTCTTGAGAAGAATGGGTCAAAATAATCGGAATTTGAAGATCTTCTCCAAACACACGTAATATATCACACATGAAAATATTGATTATGGCTATCTTTCTCTTTCACGGAATATATCTGGAAAATACATTAATCATATTTTTAGTAGGCATCAAGTATAACTAAGTAGCCTAAATCAAAATATAATTTAACATCAGATTAAGTCAAATAAGTGGCGCCAAATGATCAAGAATAAGAAAATACTACGAATCTTGTTAAATCAAACAATTAGCAGAAAATAAAATTAAACCTATTTTAATTGGAAATATCAAGGGTGTCCATTCATACAACCTATTTTTATAGATTTGGTTCCAAATACGAATGCGTAAATTGGTTACTGTAACTTGGCTGAGATCCAATAAGAAGATTTTCATTTATATATATTTTTTGTTCAGTACAACGTTGTATGTAATTATCTTTCAAATTACATTGAATATTTTGGGAAATATATATTCTTCGAGTTATTCAAAATACAAACAATAAATGAGCCAGTTTCCATGGAAATAGCTTTAAAAAAAATTAATATGTTTAAAAATAAACATTGAAATAATGTCCAATTCGCTTGTGGATTTCCCAATTCTTACCCGATAAGCATGATTTTTTTTTTATTAGCGATCATAATGCAGGCAGACAAACTATATGGGTTTACCAAAAATTCTTTATTAAGGATTTCTTAAAAACCGAATACCGAACATTTAATCTCATTACAATACCTGCTTAATTCAGGTTGTAAGTAAAGTAAAAGGCCATCGAATTTTGGAAAGTGACGGTATATCTTCTCTAATACTGGTCCGAATTAACTGATTTTTTTAAAAGAGATATTAATGAATTTTCGCGTGTTCTTATAAATGATTTACTTTAAAAGATTTTTTTTTAATTTTTTTTTTTCTTTCTTTATTTTTTCCTACTGTTCTCGGGGAACCGGTATAAATAAAATAAAATAAAGGGTTTTAGGTAAATTAAATCCCAATTGTTAAACTCGTTTTGATGCTACGCTTTACTGTGCAGAATGTGTTCAATTTTTATACAGACCATATAGAAAAAAAATTAATCTTATGATCAAGAGATTAGCTGCAGCGTAGTGAGTGGTCAATTCCCGAAAATGCAAAAAGAAAAAGGTAGAGAAGTATAAACCAATATATTATAAGCACATTTTAATTTCCTTTTTTTTTTTTTTTATAAATATAAATAGGGCTTATTTTAATCTTTCTATGTATTCCCATCAATTCAATCAACAAATACTAACGAGAAAATATTTTTATTTAAGAATGACAAAAACAATCTGTGTTATTTAAATCTGAATAAATCCGATAACAGCAGGACAGTTAATAAAAAAAAAAAGGATTGAATAAATATTTGAACCAATTCAATAGATTTGAAATACATCAATTTTGTATTGAAACATTTATGGAATTGGTATATGTTGTTCGTAATCAATTAACCGAAGTAGAAATTATACGAGTTTACAACAATTTATCCCACACCCATTTGTATTCCCACAGATTTAATTATTTAATTGTTTTTCTCTCTTTAAATATATAAATACTAAAATTGAGTGTTGTTTAATATATCTCTGTATCTCGGAGATGAAGAACGCCAGGTCCATTTTAGTATTTGTTCAATCTAATGTTTCATAACTTTGAGCTATTAAAATTTGTTAACTTCGTGGCACAGATATACTGGTCAAATTAAATCTGAAAAAAATATATTTCGATTTGATGAAATAAAAATCAATTATGTATGTAAAAGTTAATTTCTTATATTAATTTTGCAAATATGAAATCAAACAATATTTCATATTCGTTTCTTCCTTTCCGTTCATTTTTGAAATATTTCCTTTATATAGGTAATTCGATCAAAAGACAAGTTTCAGATGATTTCAGATGAAACATATGAATATTAATTCGACGGAAGCACTAATGAAAACCTGGAAGGAATTACTGAGTTGAAGCAGATCCTAAGAATCATTTTAATTAATAATAAAAAGGTTATCTCCCAAACTGACGAAAACCATTCCGATCATTGCATAAGATAAGACTGAATAATTCAGCAGTTTTAAGGTTCATTCTTATTACGGATGCAATATTGATTGATGCTTAATGGTCTATACCAAGGTTGCAATAAAGCCCATAATCTAGAAGATGAAGATTAAAACGAAATACGATTTATTTGAAAGGGGTTCTCGTTTCACTGTGCGTTATTACAAAGAGTGGATTACTTGACAACTAGAATACTACTTATTCCGAAGTTCGTGTAAAACCGTAACATTACCCATTTCTCAAAACAAGTAATTTGTTAACAAAGTTATCGATGGGATAAGAACTCTTATTAATTATGTTATCAAAATATTCCGCGGATACAGAATAGGATTAAATAAATTTATAAGATTTTTTTTTATGTTAATATCAACCGACATCCTTCAAGCATATCAGTGCATCTTAGAATTAAAATGTAATATTTTTCATCAATAATTCAAATGTTGGATGCTTGGGATAGTTACTAATTTAACTTTTAACTTACAATATTTATTTTTAACACCTAATAACTTATAATTTATTAATAAATACATTTCTTGTTTGATAGTATGTATTTTTTCAATACTTATATAAATTGATACATTTTTTTTTAAAAAAGTCGAATGTCTTACTTCCATTAAGATGTAGGGTTAACAGGACTATTCAATAATGTGTGAAGGGATGAAGATATTTTATTAATTTATTTTTTTTTTTTATAGGAGAAAACTAAACGAAGACTTTGGGTACAATATGCTGCTATCATCCTGCCCGTTGCCATGAGCCATTTTACCTGTTCCAGAATTTGTGAGTGTGTTTATTTTGTCTGGCATTTCAGTGTGGGTGCTCTGGCTAGGGTGCCATGCTACTTACTTGATGTGTCGTATTCTCGGCGCACCTCCTGGCGGGGTGTCCTCAGGTCGTTTCGGCGTCGACTGAAGCTTCGGGGGCGTAGTAGCAACTACCACCGTCAGTCACCGCCACCCTCCACGCAGGCTCGCCCCCCTAGCCGATAGAATCTCGGAAAGTGAGGAATAGTAACGTTATAGTAATACAAGTAATATATTAATTATCCTATTATAATGTTCAGTTAGAGTTTTGAAAAAATAACTTGTTGAGTAACCTGAAATAAAAAGATGAGGAAAAAGAGCCTAGCAAATATCCAAAACTAATTATTGAACTGCAGATCGACAAACAAAAATGCTGTTTGATCAAGTGTTGTAATCATATTTAAATCGTGCATATAATGGGCAAAACACAGTTCCTTCCAATCAGTGGATGTGAGAGGTCCGAAGATGAGAAGCGTGGCTATAATTCTGTTGGGCTTAGCGGTCCATTATGCCGCAGCTCATTACAACAATCAAGGTAAACTCTTGAATATAATTTGAATAATATTTGAAAATATTATTTCAAATCTATATCAGATAGTATTAACGACGAATGTTATAGGGAGTAAAAGAGGAAACGGAGGCGGCAATGGCTGGGGAGAAGGAGGTGGATACGGCAGAGGAAACGGTGGAGGAGTAGGCGGAGGACAAGGTTACGGTTACGGCGCTGGAGGTGGATACGGAAGTGGAAATAGTCAAGGGTATAGAGGTATAGACTATGACGATGGCTATGATGAAATCCCAAACTATAGAAATAACGACATCTACGATCGAAATGATGGACCCAGAGGTGTCAGAGACTATGGCAGAGATAGCGGCTATGGTCAAGGAGGAGGCAGCGGTTATGGATCTGGAGGCGGTTACGGCGTTGGAGGAGGCAGAGGATATGGAGAGGGAGGTGGTTACGGCTATGGAAGTGGCAGTGGCTACGGATCAGGAGGTGGAAACAACAACGATGTAGGACGCTTGCAGAACCAAGGAGGAAGAGGAAATGGAGTAGGAGGGGGGCAAGGATACGGAAGTGGTTATGGTACAGGAGGAGGTAATAACCAAAGAGGTAGCGGGTATGGCGTAGGAGGTGGTTACGGAATCGGAGGAGGCACTGGAAATGGAGGCAGCGGTTACGGAGTAGGAGGTGGTTTTGGTTCTGGAGGTGGCAGTGGTCAAGGAGGAGGAAGTGGATATGGAACTGGAAGTGGATTTGGTTCTGGAGGGAGAGATAGGCCAGGAGGCTACAGAGATAGAGAAGGAAGTAGTAACGGCAATGATAGAGGCAGTAACCAAGGAGGTAGTGGATATGGAGTGGGAGAAGGTTATGGATCAGGAGGAAGTAGGGGTCAAGGAGGAAGTGGATTTGGCTCTGGAGGAAGAGATAGGCCAGAAACCTACGGGGATAGAGTAGGAAGTAGTTACAACAATGGAGGAGGCAATTACCAAGGAGGTAGGGGCCAAGGGGAAGGTAATCGCCAAGGAGGAAATGGATATGGATCTGGAAGTGGGTTTAACTCAGGAGGAAGGGATAGACCAGGAGGCAACGGAGACAGAGAAGGAAATAGTTACGGCAATGGAGGTGGTATTAGTCAAGGAAGCAGTGGATACAGACCAGGAGGTGGTTATGGAAGCAGCAGACCAACAGGCTACTACGGAAAAGGGTACTACGGGGGCTACCGAGGAAGCAGTGGAGGATACAGAAGACCTTCGTACAGGAGATATTGATTAAGCTTTAAAATAGATCAAAAGTTAAATCGTGTTCTACGGTTTCAATTGTTAAGTAATTTAATGTAAATTTATATCAAGTAATTTATTTAAAAAATAATATATGTTGCTTCTTTGCTTAAAAAATTTAGAGTTCAAAATCTCTCTCAATATAAAACGATTTCATTTAAAGATTAAACTTTAATAAATAAATATTATCATAATAAAACGAAAAAACTACAATCATATGGATTAGGTCTGAACTTTAAATTACTGTATAAAAATTTCAACTATATAACACTGTACCTTAATATACCAAATATATTAACATATTATGTATACCATAGGAGTTTTATTGTAAAGTTTCCATACAAATATAACCATAATAAATTTTTAAAAAATGGAATTTATGGCACATTTTTTATTCTATATTTACAGTTATCTGTCTATATATTTATGTATATTATTAACTTTTTTTAAATAATGAAATCCATCCCAATATTTTTATTACTGATTGTGAGAATAGATAGTAATAATTTAACCAAAGTATCAACACAAATCTATAAAAAAAATTAATGAAAAATTGATCTTAAATATGAATATAATTCTATAACCTAATGGGACGAGATGGAACAAGAAAGTCAAATGATTAGGTAGATGGTGAACAGAAATTTGGCGTTTCTTAATGTGGCGTTTCCATTAGGTTAACAATAACCTTTTTCCATTACCAAACATTTAACTTTTACATTGTTATATTATCACTATATCTCGTCCATCAATAAATGGGTAGAAGAATGAAGGCATGCTATTAAAATTATTCCTTTAGCAATATAAAATTTTAATATAATTTGTGTCTAAACACCTTACAAGGTCAATATTATTGAATATCGAATATATTGACCGTCTGAAGGATATATTCTAATAATTATATTGACATTTGCACTATGTATACAACGATCAAGAATATTGTTTCAATTATTTATTTATTTTTCTTAACTTAATTTTCTAACTTACACCTGTCGAAAGTTCCGAAAATCAGCGAGTATGGTGTCTAGATGTGGAAGATTAATAGGTCTTGGAGTAGGGGTAAGGGAGAGGAGTGCCCAGCGGTGTCCTTTCTGTCTTGAATGTAATATTTATAGTTAGTAGAGGAGATCTCTTACAATCGACTTTAATATTATTTAGACTCCCGTTTATCTTATATATTGTTTCTTAAATACATATCTCTTTTCCGGCTCTGAGGATGGATTTTAATGAATGAGGTATCAATAGAAAGGGAATATCACGTAGAGTGCGCGAATCGTAATTTTGATTCCTAATTGGCTTAAATAAAAGTGAATGTAAAAGGGGAGATTTCAAACCGTAGGGTGGTGCCGTTTCATCGAATCGAGACGTTGCAAATGAATTCATTATTCGGTAATAACCCGGAAAGGACGCAATTTTAGGCCCATTATGCATATGAGTATTTGAAAGCTTAGCAAATTTCCTACAAAACACCACCACATGGTTTGAAATCTCCCCTTTTACATTCACTTTTATTTAGGCCAATTAGGAATCAAAATTACGATTCGCGCACTCTATTGATATTCCCTTTCTATTGATACCTCATTCGTTAAAATCCAACCTCAGAGCCGGAAAAGAGATATGTATTTAAGAAATAATATATAAGATATACGGGAGTCTAAATAATACTAAAGTCGATTGTAAACTCATGTACTCCCCAGTACTTTCTAAAAATGGCTTATGAATCGCATTCAATCCCTGGTGATAATTATGTAGTAAAATGGATGTCTATGCAATAACCATTTTTGATACTGTAATCTATTCGCAAAATACTTTATTATTCATATATTTACATGACCACCTTTCATTGAGCATTTCGTTATTTTTTTCCATAACGACATGACCTCTATAACCTTCACTTAGGTATGGGCGATAGTCGATATTATTATCGATATATCGATAGTTCTTATCCTCCCCTTAAGGCCACCTCACGCGATCAATATTATTGAATCAATTGTATTGACCTGGTACGTCAGTAACGTTACTTTACCTAAAGACTTACAGGTGCCAACAGTTAACGACCACATACGAACATACCACAGAAGATTTCATAATAACTTTCACGGACAAACTAACTCATTGATTCGAGGCATGGCCACAACTAACATGCCCGATAGCACCCGAAGGAGGCTTGAAAGAAGCTGGATGAGAGATTTCCTCTGCTAACTATAAATATTACATTCAAGAAAGAAAGGACGCCGCTGGGCACTCCTCTCCCTTACCCCTATTCCAAGACCTATTAATCTTCCACATCTTGACACCATACTCGCTGGTTTTCGGAACTTTCGACAGGTGTAAGTTAGAAAATTAAGTTAAAAAAAAATAAATAATTGAAACAATATTCTTGCTCGTTGTATACATAGTACAAATGTCAATATAATTGTTAGAATATATCCTTCAGACGGTCAATAGATTCGATATTCAATAATATTGACCTTGTAAGGCGGTGTTTAGACACAAATTATATTAAAATTTTATATAGGTAAAGGAATAATTTTAATAGCATGCCTTCATTCTTCTACCCATTTATTGATGGACGAGATATAGTGATAATATAACAATGTAAAAGTTAAATGTTTGGTAATGGAAAACGGTTATTGTTAACCTAATGGAAACGCCACATTAATAAAATAAATAGATAGAAGTCTGAAGGCGTGTTTAACACTACTATTAGTAATATATAAAAGTGAAACTAAATTGAAAAACAAGAAGCCTTCAAGGTAAAAAATAATTCAACCTCAAATTACATTCTTAGAAATATTTTTACAACTCCAGTTGTGCCGATGGAAAAAATTTTACATTTACCTCACCTTTTTTAATTTTTTTTTTTTAATAAAAAATGTATAATTAAAAAATCTACAGGGATGCCGTTACAGTTTTATTATATTCTAAACTAGGTGTTATTATCAAATTAAATTTAGAATCTTGGAAATTAAAAGACACGCACATTTCTCGCCTCCGTTTTTAACCAAATATTTAAAACAATACTACCTATATGTCGCAGATGTTTCTTGTTTGAATTCAATGATCTGAGAAGTAAATGTAATTTATTTTTCTATATAAATGTGTTGTTTTCCTTTCAATATTTTTTTTAATTATTTATTTAATAATTTTTATTAATGTCTTAACATTAATCTTTGAGATTGTATGTCAATTGTATTGTATTACAATACAATGTCTTAACATTAATCTTTGAGATTGTAATCTAATATAAATGTTAATAATTTTAAAGTTTATGCAGCATTTTAAAGTAAATAACTAAAGAATTCACTGAAAATAAATCCTCTTTAAGTTTTTATAGGGAAGTTACTAAACTATCGATACTATCAATAGTTTTTTATCGCTACTATCGAACTATTGATGGTGAAAAA